AAATTAAATGTTAGTCATTTATTAAATTTAATTAATTAGAACTCGATAGGTGAAAACTGAAATTACACTGAAAAAAAAACAATTAAACGTACAGATTTTTCAGTCACTTGACAGACAGTCACTTGCCCAGAACAGCAGCTGACCGATACTCTGTTAGTTAGAGAAAAACATGTCTAATAGGATGTATTGAGCCGCGATCGCTCAGGGATTCGCGCCTTCCAATGAGGTGAACCGGGATTCGATCCCGGTGATGGCTGGTCGATAGGAATTCCGCATCCGGCTTGCGCCGACCACAGTGCCGACGTGAAATATCCTCAGTGGTAGACGGATCATGGGTTAGAGTCCCCTTGCCGTCAGGTTAGCCGTGGGAAGTTTTCGTGGTCTTCCTCTCCATGTAATGCAAATGCGGGTTAGTTCCATCAAAAAGATCTCCACGAAGGCAAATTTCTCTCAATACTTGATTCAGGAGTTCCCTTGTCTTCTGGATTGGGTTCAAGATTACAAGGCTACGGAGTTGAACATTAGAACCCAAATAATGGGCCAGCTGTTCAACGAGGGTTGTAAAATAATAGGATGTATTGCCGCACAATTCTGGCATCGGTGATGGCCATACAGTTATCAGGATCATTTGTCTGAGGCACCCACTCTTACAACAAGGCATCCATGAGTTCGATGGAGGTAGTCTTCGGGCTGCAATTGAGTGTCCCATACGTGTTCGGTGGAATTAAAGTCAGCGGACATCGCAGGCCTCACCAATCGTTGAATATCCTCCCATTGGAGGTATTCGTCCACACACTGAGCCCTATGTGAACAGGCGTTTTCATCCATAATGATGACATTTCATCCATTGCTCCCCGGTCTTAAATAGGGTGCAAGAATCTCGTACCTGTCAGAGTTCCTCTGCCGAACACAGGAAAGTCGGTATGCCAGTCGGCCAAGATACCTGCCCAGAGCATTTCAACCCTAGTGATCCTTCTCGACAATGTTAAAAAAACCGATATCAAATGAGGTACCTCTATACAAACACGATCACAGCATGACGACATTACAGGCCACTGCGTTGCAGAGGTGTCAGCGAAGAGCTTTATCATCTCCCACCTAATTTGCATACAGGCGTACTAATTTTGTTCTTTTTTAACAAAAAAGAATGACGTTTCTCCTTTTAATTGCGTAGATACCAGTAATTTATTAAGTTTAAATATGGGATACTAGAAATGTATTCAATTTAAATGAAATGTATTAAATTATTTTCAGCAATCCTCTGGTGTTGTGCAGATCATTCTCTCGAATGGATTTCATGGCTTGGAAAGATTAAAAAGTGTGAATTTCTGGACCAAAATGAACATCCAAATTTAAAGGATTCTATTTAAACGATTCATATTCCATTTAAAATAAATGTTATCATTGGTGAAATTTTATATGCAATATATTCTATAATCAAAATTTTTGTAATTAAATTAATTTTTTTAGATTGCTTGTAAAAAAATTCAACCAAAAAAAATTTACACAATACAAAAAAAAAGAGAAAGTCAACAATTCGAACGAGTTTCATTTCCATATATCAGAATATTTTTTAATGGTTTTAATCACTTTTTCCTCAGATTTATGTCGATAATGTTTCTTCAGACTATGACATCGTTTTATTTTATCTTTTAAATGTTAGTTTACATTACTCTAATGCTTATATTTGACACTATTTACAAAGAATCTATAATCTAAATGAAGAACTGTCATTACAAAATACTGTGGTAAATTGATTGAAGTATCATCTCTTTCCCAGTGGCACGAAATATAAGCAAACAAAAAATACTTTAGAAGCATAAAGAGAAACACAACGAGAAAAATACGTTTTCTTCCAATAGAAAAGTAAGTTAAGAAATTTTTTTTATTCTTATTTGACCAAAATTAAATTAACTGGAAGAAATTTGTTACTTTAATTGCAATTTATTTTGTAATTTTACAATAAAAGTAAATGACACTGTGAAGAAAATAAATTCCTATAGTTTCACCCTCTGCTCACTCCCAAACTTAAAAACTGTAACTGCCTTTCTTTCGGATCCCATCGTCATCTGAGTCATTTGATACCACTATAGTTCAGACCAGCTTTGCATAAATAGTGCCTATAATACAGTATCTATTGGACATCTATACCTTTTTCCACAATACCTATATGAATTAAATAACACAGGCGTCAATAATTGTTTGGCACTATTTTTATGGATCTCTGAAACAAAATGGGTCCTAGTCGGTCACGAAATACATAAAAATCAATGAAATAGGTCAAATAACGATTATCATTTTTTAAATTTAAATTTCATTAATATTTTGCGCTCCACTGACGGTGACATCAAAAGTCACCACTTTAAAACTTAAAATTTTAATTAACAACATTATTTTATAAATTTTAAATATTATACAGAAATATTGTACTATGTATTTGAAATAACTAAGAATTTACATTACTTCAAACGACATAAAGTATTCGGAGTGCAAAATCGTCTTTCAATGACTTACGACACAATAAAGGAGCCATTCTGAAAGTAAAATTACAAATAGTCAATTTAATAATTTAAAGATGATACAGAAATAAAATTGTAGAATGAGTTAAAATGTCTCACCGTTAAAATACATAGCTAAAAACTTGATTTATGGTGATTAAAAAGACATATCTGAATTGAAATAATTTACACTTAAAATTTGAAAATCATATTGGATGTTTACTCTTTCATGCTTATGAGTCCTCAGTAGCTTGAAATTTCAGTTGTTTATTGCCTAGGCATCGCGAAAAAAGAATTTCATTGGTTGTGTGAAAATTTACTTATTTATGCATTAGAGTTCATCATAACATACATTTAAAATTTGAAAAGGATTGGAAAATTTGAAAAAGTCTGAAATGCATTTTATTATATATTTGCTTAAGTTATCTTTCGCAATAAAATTTACGTAGTATTTACGGTTTGCAATTCTAAAAAAAATAATTCGTACCACTATCTGAAACGCACTAAAATATAACTTAATTTTGTACAACGACTATTAGCAATTTATTAAAGTAATAACTAAATTTTCGATTTTAAACACAGTTCAAAATTTCAGTTTTAGTTAAGTTAAAAGTAATCATTAAAATAAACTAAATACAAGCGTAAAATTATGTTGGTAAAAGTTATTTTCCTTAAAAAATTATAAAACCAATCTCGATCTATATATATCTTTGTGTGTGTGTATTTAAAAATGAGTAATAAAATTAATTTTTCAAAACTCTCCTAGTATCTTTTACGCAGTTTATTTAAAGAAATTGTGAAAGATTATCCATTCAGCCATCAGGAAGTAAACATTGCGTTCTGAGAGAAAGTAAATATTTGACTGAAAAGGTAATGTGCTGAGAGTAAAATTATTTAAAAAAGTGAACCATTTTTCATAATAATATTTTTTCTAATTTTGATATTTCTTTGTGTGACCAATCTTTCTTCTGCCTTTAATGTAAGCAATTTTTTTTATCTAGGATTGCATTAGTAATATTAAAATGTAATTTATATTAATTAAAGTGGTTATGAGGAAATGAGCTTTAAACTTCGTACGCTCTTTTTGAGGAATCCAAATTTTGCTTAGTTAAAACGGGAGCCATTTAGGCATGATTTTCAAAATTTTACCAAAACATTTGTTCACGGAAACACTTCTATCCTTTATAATATTCATAACCTATACTAGCCGGACTGTGTAGGGGTCTTGTGTTTGAATCCCGGACAAAGCGTGCATGTTCTTTCATTCTCTGTACTACCTGTTGTGGGAACCTAATAGGGTGCGCTTGAAAGAGTGGCAAAAAAATCTACCCTAATACACTAGCCTGAGCGGACGAAACTCAGGAGTCATTTTAAGAAAAAAGAAACCTTTTCCATATTAATTCTATGAAGATTGTTTACGTGACTCTACTGCTTAAAATAAATTTTAGAACGCATTTTTTTTTTTACTTTTTAGAACATGTTTGTTTCTGAACTTGTTATCTCGAAAATTCACCATCTCGAAATTTTTTTAGCGTCTTTTCAACTGTGAGATATCGAGAGTATATCAAATACGTTAACTTAATAACCCTGGCCGATTATTAGTAAATAACACGACCCTTAATACGGTTATTTAACAAACACTGGTAAAAAAAAATCTCGAATGTTTTAAACTATAAACGTCCATTGGTTCAACTGTACTTAAAATGTACTCTTTCACATGATATGAAAATTGCTAATATTACTAACAAAACTTTAGCTTAGAATATTTCCATACTCTCAGGAGCTGATTACCGAAAAGCTAGAGCTTCCACTCCGAATTTTAAAATAAACTTTAGAGGACCCCAAAATGACTGAAAAATCGTTGTGTTTCGGATAATCGTCTTTGTTTTTTTGGTTTTTAATTTCTTGAAAGAAAATTTGCTAAATCATACGAATAGTCGTACTAATAAAGAAACGTTGGAGCAGGCTTCTATTTCAGGCTTCTACAATATAAGCATCAGAGGAAATCGAAGATATGATATGTGTTATACAGTTTAGAACTTACTTTTTAGAAATTTATGATTACACTATTTGAAATTCAAATATTTAGCTTATTTGCTAAATTATGCCAGAAACTTGACAAAAAATTCATTGCTTTCCGTTTTACTTTCACCCATGCACAAGTAATTGCTGAGCTCCGTAACGAAATGGTACTTCCATTTCAGATTAAACCTCGTAGATTGAAACAAATGCCTGTATGTCATAAAAGATTCTGTGCCATTTTTGGAAACAATATTTGTAGCGTAGCATTAGTAAGTTTCAATTTAATGTGCATAGAATTTACGAAAACTTTTTCCAAACCAAAAAAGAGACCGCGAAATGAGCTTTCCCTAACTCCAGAGGCTGCATACTCTGAAAAAAATACCTATTGAAATTTTTCTTAACCTTTTAAAGTTTCATAAAATAGTAAAATTTCTAAATTACTTAAATCAGGTTTATTTTACACATTTCATTTTAGTAGAACGTTGCACATCATAAAATTCTATTTTGAGGAGCGTTAAAAGAAACAATGAAATACTGTATGTAATGAGCATCACGACTGTAATTATTCACGACTCTTATTTAGATCATTAATTTTATTTCGAAGGAAAGTGCACCAAATGACGCGTGCATTTTAATTCAGTGCTAAAGTTTGCATTGTACTGTTTAAATGCTCACGACAGCATTTAATTTGAAACTGTTTTGAAATCAGAAGGATTCATAGTTTTCTGTTAAAGGTATCATTTGGACAAAACAGTTGAATATGATGCGTTTCTCATGTGTAAGGTATGTGACTATTTTTTAATGTTTCATTTCAATGTATATTTCTTAATGTTTCGTTATATATGAATGCTTTTATTTAATGAACTCATTACCCGTTGATAATTCGTATATTCAACACTTTGTAGTGAAGAAAAAACTGCCTACATGAAGAAAGTGGATATTTCCCATTGTTAGCTACCACTTTAAGTTAAAAAAATTTGCAATCGAATGCTTTTTGATCGAGATAAAATATTAATCACGAAAAGGCACATTTATCCTATGTGCATCAGACCGATCCTCCGCTATGCATCCCCGGCCTGGAGGACGCTTACAAATGCACAAAGAAAGAGACTCAGGGTCTTCTAACACAAAATCCTAAGACGAATCACTGGGGTTCCCTGGTTTGTCAGAAATAACACCCCTTATAATGACCTCAAAATAGACGAGTGCCTTTTTAAACTCAATGCATCCTTTTTTAAAAGTGCCAAAGATTGTTCAACTTGCGAGTTCAATAAGTTGTTAGATATCGATTTTATTGATAATAATAAGAATTTGAGTCCGATAACCGCTTTTTTCTTAAGCGACTGTGTTCTCTCTAAGCATTTCGGATAACTATCCCCACTGCCCTAGACGAACTGAGCACTCTGCACCAATGAAGTTAAAGTTGTCGTTCTGACTGGGTAATTTGGGTATAATGTTAGAGGGTGGTCCCCGACTCTCTGGGATGAGGAGAGTTACTTGAAGACAGTATTCCATGCAAAGCAAGTCTTTCATGTCTGATAATTTATTCTGAAAGTTCGAAATTATTATACATAGATTGCTAGCATGTGGTGGTGAACCTGTCGGAACAGAGTACAAATTCAGAAATTTTTTTCCTTAATTTCATTTAAAGATTGTAACGTTGTTGGTTATTCTTGATGCTATAACAGAAACCTTGCTTTATTATTTCAGTTTCTGTCGGATTGCTACGTTGATCTCATCATTAATCTTATTCATTACAGGTATTATTTTTCTCTTTATACTCTGATAAATGTTGTTTTTAGATAAAAATGTCCTCTAAAGGAGGTCAAGTAAATACACATCGGTACTTTTGTACCACTTTTTTATTGCTCCATTATTACTAATATACTAAAAATTCGTTTGAAAGGATCGTACATACTACAACTTCAAAGATATTTAGGACCTCCTAGAATACGACAGAATCGATGAATCGGTTAGTAGCGCTTTGCCGCAAACGCCGAAATGAAAGGATCGTTTTTTTTTCTTCTTCTGTTTATCATCGCAAATTTGTTTTTTAAAACTTATAAAGTAGCTCCGCTCACCAGCCCAAGCTTTCATTCACCATTGTTTTTTTCCCCTGAAAAGTCAATATTTCCGTACTTGAATCTAGAGAATGCAAATTATATGACTCAATATGTTAAAAGAAATAATTAAATTTATTAACGAGACTTTTACAATTCAAGCGAGGGAGCCGCGATGGCTCAGGGGATAGAGCGTTCGGTTTCCAATGAAGTGAACCAGGGTTCGATCCCGGCAATGGCTGGTCAAAGTCTAACGATCAATGGAACAGGCAATATCTAATACAAAGGGAAAATTCTAGTGAAAAGCATATTCATTGTAATAATTTTCAAACAAATTGGAATTTAAAAAAAAAAAAGTCTAGTTAAATTCATAAATAAATCTAATTGCATTTCAATAGTTGAATTCGAGCGGGAAGTAGATTAACTCACATGGCATTTTTTACTATATTTTTAAATAGTCAATAATTCTCGAATGTTAAATTCTTTATCCTTCTGTTCATTCCATTGTAATTTCTCGGTGAAGAACTAAAGATTATGATATTTTAACATAGAGAGATTTTTTTTCTCTGCGCATTATTTTCCCTCCAAACACGTGTAAATGATAAAAAATATTTCGCAACAAATTAAGCAAGAATTGCGTGAAAGGTTTTAGGTGCTCTCGCAAGAAAGCTTATAAATTATTTGCTTAAAAAAAGCTTTGCCATCTTCTAACACAATTTTAGGCAAAATATTTTTGTTATTTATAGGAGCGTTTGGGGGAGAGAAAATATGCCAGTAGTTGTAGTCACTAGCAAATAAACTAAAAACTTCGAATTATAGGAACAAAAAAAACTAATTTCTTATACCCCTCAGAAGAAATGAAACGATTCGGAGAATCATGGAGAGGTTCTGAAGCAGAAAGAGGTCTTATTCATTATCCCTTCCGTTTCCATAAATATTCGCCAAATTCTATTGACAGCAGGGATGCTTTATTTATTGTGATTAAATAGGTGCTTTGGTAGTTAGTACACCTAACATACAACTATAAGTACAATGGTCATCCCCCTTCGAAGCACTTCACTGGGCATCCTTCAAACATTCATCTTTGTACATATAAATCCGTCATTCAGCATTTTTCAATTGTTTTTTTCGTCCACCGTTCTGCTTCTTATTTAACGCAGCGCATTAATCATTTAAAATATAATTCCAGATGGAGAAAAAGTTGTAGCACCTGGTAATTTAGTTCATAAGTTACAGACAACAATGCCTGAAATTGAATATTATGCAAAATTACAAATTCGTCTAGAAGATATTGCTGATGAATCAAACATGTAAGTACAAAGCTTTATGAGCAACTTTTAACTGCAGCCACATTCGATTACCAGTTAAAAATATAAGCGCAAATCGCACAAACGTCAAATACTAAACTATCTATGGCTTCATCAAGCGTGAAGACGTTTTTAGTTGTTTTCATAAAGTTTAAATGGGTAACGCTTGCGTTTTAGCAGTTAGTCCAGCGAATTTACTTCAACTGACAAAAATTTTCGAAAGCTGCAACTTATCATATTGTTTTGTAACATTTAAAATTAATAAAACAAAATTCACTTCTGTAATGTTTAATTATTATTTCTGATTCGGAAGTTGAATTTTTTTTTCTCTAAAACTATCTTTTATAGATTTGAATAAAAGAAGATAAATGAACCTTTTGGATAAGGCTGGTACAATATGGTATACCGTAAGCAAAGAATTAAATGAAAAAAGAAAACGCAATAAACACAAGAAAACTATAGAAGTAAACAAGCTTTAGATTGCCAGACGCTATAAGTATAATGGCGAACAAGGAAAATCACCAGTGCCTTGCCAAATATTGCTCACTATCCAAATCCGTTACCGATCCGCTCACTTCGGTGACTAGCTCCTCATTAGTGGTGACTCCCTGACGTCACCGAGCCAGTTGCGGTGATCCAAATCACCTCGATTGCGGTCCCCCTAATGCTCTTATATTGAAGTGTTAATTTTTTGCATTTAATTGAAGTTTTCCTTGAAATACAAGTTAAGAAATATTTTACCCACTAGGAAAATGGTTATTGTTCTAGATATATCATGTCCACACACTTTTTAACTATATCAATTTAAACACCAAAATCACAAATAAAAAGTTCTAAGAGTCTTGAAAAATCTGACTAACAGATGCATTAAAAAAAATCGCCACGCCGAGATCAAATTNACCGAGCCAGTTGCGGTGATCCAAATCACCTCGATTGCGGTCCCCCTAATGCTCTTATATTGAAGTGTTAATTTTTTGCATTTAATTGAAGTTTTCCTTGAAATACAAGTTAAGAAATATTTTACCCACTAGGAAAATGGTTATTGTTCTAGATATATCATGTCCACACACTTTTTAACTATATCAATTTAAGCACCAAAATCACAAATAAAAAGTTATAAGAGTCTTGAAAAATCTGACTAACAGATGCATTAAAAAAAATCGCCACGCCAAGATCAAATTAAAAAAAAACAGTCGATAATTTTGGAGCTTCATGAAGTTCATTATTTTCCTTTTTTTTCTCTTTTTTTTTGTTCCTTTTTTTTGATAACGTGTAATATTCTGAGAAATAGTGATGTGAAGGCAAAGTGCATTACATTCGAACAAAAAGCAGTAAGATTTTAACACTGGCAGAAGATGGGGAAAGAGGGAAGAAATCTTGTGTGAGAAAACTTCCCCTGCTCCATTAAATATCCTAAACTTGATTTGAAAGCTGTGACTAAATGACAGGAAGAAATGAGCAAAAAATAAGCTATAAATAACAGAGTTATACCCTTTAAATATTTTATTCTTCATTACTAACAGTACTTTATACAAATAAATTACAAAAAAACATGTTTTTTTCTGATTTTTCATGGCGTTACCGCCTTAGTGTTTTTCCTTACATAGTTCTATCTTTCAATTACAGTTCTTATAAAATGTACTTTAGCTTATTTGAAAGTGGAAGATACATCTTCACTCTCTGAAAAATGAAGAGGGAAGGATTTCTAATATATAGCATTTATATGCAATTTTGGTTATTTTTTCATGAAAATGGGACGTCATTGATTTTCCTTTTCCGCGTATTAAATAGATACATTTACAAACAAGATGATACAGTTAATTTTTTTTAAAAATGACGATTCTGTTTTGAAATAAGCTAAATAAAACAATGCAGGTTTTACAGTTTGAATGGCTATATCTAGTAAAAGCATCAATAGCCCAGGAAAATGCTGGGTTACACAACTTGTCCTAATAATGGACTTCAAAAGAAAGTTTAAAAAAGTATGATGCTGTGGTGTAGCCAAGATTTTTAAGGCACAAAACGCCTAAAACAGAATTTTTCGCTTACTTAACTCTGAAAAATAAGCAATGAAAAAGAGAATTTGTCCATAACTAGGGGTCGATGTACTACTAATAAAGCAAAACAAAACTTTGGGGTGTTGTAGCTTTATTTAGATAAACCCCGTAAAATATACTTGCATTTCACTTTCAAAGAAATGATGTTGATCTTGGAAATTTTCCACTAGGAATGGAAAAAAATTTTAAGAGTTCAAAACTTGCACAATATTCCTTGCAATCAAAAAACGCATTGAAAATCCTAAATATCTGGGAGTGTTCCTAGACCCAGAACTGAGATATACTAAACATATTAAAATCACGGCAAATAACGGTCCAAAGAAATTAAACGTCCACCGAAAACTTTGTGGCACAAACTGGGGCTCGAGATCATCAACATTAAAAAATACTTACTGCACCGTCATCAGGCCAGTACTTGAGTATTGCTCCCCCATTTCGGCACATGCGGCTAAATTTGTTAAAGACACTTTGGACTCAGTCCAACATAGAGCATCAAAAATCATCATTGGTGCAGTGTTCTCCACTAACAACATCAAGGTCGAACTTGAAAGCGGTCTTGTTTCCCTTTAAAACAGACGGAAACTCGTCACTCTAAAATTCACCAACAAAGTCAGAAGCCACAATAGAGATCATATTGCTCGCAGAGTTTTTGATACTTTAACAGGTAGGTCAAGGCTTCAGAGATCATCAACGCTGCAATTTGACGGAGACAGGCCGTCTAGAACCATGCTCAAAGAATGAACCAACCCGAGTACTATTACAAAAAGGTGAAGACACTGTTCATTCACTTTCTAGGGAAAACAGCATAATAGTCTACACAGATGGTTTCTCTGATATTGACTTTAATAGATATTGACTGAGGTGGTGCTGATATCTCCATCACTTACCCCTCAGGAAATGACGTCAAACTCAAAATACCCACTGGCCAAATTGCTTCGAACTTCACTAGCGAATTAATTGCTATAAAAGAGGCTCTTGTCCATTGTCGCTCCCATTCTCTAAAAGACCCAATGAAAGAAATTGTGATTTTCTCAGACTCAGCACTCGAAGCCATACATAACGGTAAGACATCAATAACGCAAGAAATTAATACCTTTCTCCGTTTACTAAATATCCGTTGCACTCTCCAGTGGATCCCAGCTCATGTTGGAATCGAGGGGAATGAATGCGTAGATGCCCTTGCAAAGGAAGCACGCGAAGATCAACCTCGAGCAGTCACCTGTGCAGATGCGAATACTGTCGCCAGGCGAAGGATATACAACCAGCTTTTTAGCAAAGCAACAATCCCGGATCTAAACTGCCCTAGAAACCTCTTCTCTGCAATAGCTAGTTTACGTACTGGACATTTCAAAGGTATGTGGTAGATATCACGCACCAATAAAAAATCCTATCCCATCTGCAAGTACTGTCCTCATTTGCAACTAACTCCAGACCATGTTTTTGACTGCCAGGTCATTGTCGGCCCCCTCTTTCAACTTGGAGCACCCCGATCGAAATTCTCCATGGCCATCAGGCTCCAGAACTTGCAAATCTTGTTATCAAGACTTTTGGAGGACTCTAATCTTTGCACTAGCACTGTATGCATAGACACGACAACAACAATCAAAAAGTACAACTATCACGCATTCTCTGAGGTTTAAAATAATGGTTCTTAAGAAATTTTGCTTACAGGATAAGTTAGGACAAAAAAATATATGGTCTCAAAAATTTTGCTCTCTACTGTACAAATTTAGGCCGAACGAAATTTTTCTAGATGCGAAAAAGTTATTTGTGTATCTAAGAAAAAAGAAAAAAATTCCTTTAAAATTATAATAAAATATTTTTTAATCCATTTTTATTCTATTCTATTTTGTTAATGATTTGACGTCTTTTTTTTATTTGAAACCTTTATCCTATTTAAAAATTGTTTTTAGTACTGAAATAATATCTAGATAAATTTTCTACACACTGTAAAATATTTTGATTTATAGGGGTAAGGAAAACTTTTATGTAACCCATCTCTCTTTCGGAAGTAAATGTTTTGGATGATTTTGTTTGGCAAAACTGTTGCCATAGTGTGAAAAATCATGCTTGAAATTGTTAGAAATGATGTTCTTTTTAACATATGCAAAATCAGAATCGACCGAAATGAGCATAAAAAGTTAATAAATTCTTTCTGACATATATACCAGTAATTTTGAAATTATTCTATAAAATTGATATATTTATATAAGTTATATAATATTTTTAACTGTCGAAGTGGACCGTGATAGTCTGATTGGAAGGGTGCTGGACTCATGTTCGTAAGAACGGGAGTTCGAATCCAGCCAACCGAAGACTCCCCGTATAGTAAACGGTGACTGGTGCACGTTAAATCTATCGGGACGCAAAGTCAACCGTGTTCCCATAACAAATTATACATCTGGGTGTGCTGTACTGGAAATTGATCATTCTCTGGTTCAGATCAAAATTTCTATCTGTGGATGAATGAAAAAGAACACCTCCTCTAAATGCTTCAAGAAGTATCTTTCAAACAGATTTGCAATGTAAAATCTTCTAAAACATTGACTGCTAAATGAAAAATTTTTTACATGCAGTTAGTAAAGAAATGTTTTCGTATCTCTCTCTCTCTCTCTCTCTCTCTCTCTCTCTCTCTCTCTCTCCAGTCCAGAAGATCATGTCGCATCAGCAAGTCATAGACAGTCTCTCCATCAGTTGCCTCACAGAGGCACCAATGCAATCCAAAAGAGACAAGTGCACTGCAGGGATAACTTGGGGCATTTGGCGGCATGCCAATCATGATCTGGCGGGTGCTTCCACGCTGAATTTACCCTAGCTAACTTCAGGGTGTGAACCTCAGACACTAGTAATTTAGAGGAAGGGGGAGTAGCAAGTTCACTCTCTTCCTTGGCTAGCCGATTAGCAATCTCATTCCCATAAATACCCACATGGGAAGGAATTGATGCAATCTAAATACCACCTCTGTTAGTGTACTCTGTTGCTACCTTTTTAGTGTTCGGTAACGAAAACTTGCAATGACAAGAAGATAAAATGCTTGTTTAAAATCAATAATAAAGTTATTTTAGGGTATAAATTACAGTAACAACTAAATAAGGAATGCGTTCACTCAACAATTTCTAAAACAAAATTAGTTTCTAAATTAAATATACACACCGCACATAAAGAAAATCAAAACAGATTCGAATTAGGGTTAATAAGCAGAAACAGATAAATATTAAAATCATAATATTATAAAATTATTAATGCGAATACTGTTATCTTTACACATCTCTGGAACATACGTGCCTTTTGCAAAAGTAAACAACCGAAGTTTAGCAACTTGCGAGATGACAACAATCTTTCACCTTTTAGTTGCTCGATAATTAACAATCTACGGTTGCCATCCGTACGTCAAAAGTGGTATTTTAAAATTATACCGGGGAGCAAATTTTTCGTTGCATTTATTCAAATACTTGATTTCACCTCATTCGGGTTTAGGAATTCAAATTTGGAATTAGTTTCGCTCGGAAATGTACCGAATTTTTTCAAAATGATTTTATTGGGCTACTTTATTTATTTTCTGAATGTACGAGTTTATAAAGAATGCATGTATTTACATCGATGCATATATGCTAGTGTGATCCTTTGAAATCAACGCTGAAGACAGAAAACACATGACCTTAACGTATTGTATCCTAAATTGAAAATTATTATCACCTTCATCCCCCCCCCACTTTCTACATAGCAGAGAAGTAGGGACACTAGCGTGAATTTTTAAAAAAGGCTGACTGATTCAGATTGTATTATTAATTGGCGTAAAAACAGTAGCTTGATGAGAGAAACCCTTTGAAATGTACATGAATGCCAGATTCAGTGCTAACTTGAAGTAAGGTTCACGCAATGTTTTTCAACGTTTTTTTTTAATCGGACGGTTATAATACAACAGTTTTTACAGCTATTGCAAAAATTAATACCTACATAACTTATTTGACACCCGGGGATTAAATGGTAACTCCGGTGGTTCACTTTAATCAGCGTAGTCAGACACTCAATTTAGTTTAGTTTATAGTTAACTCAATTGCCGATAACTTTGAAGGCTAGCGTGTATTTTTCAATGAGAACTGTTTTAAACAATAACACGCGTAATGTAATCTCTTTTCCAGGTACAAAAGATACCATTTGGTGAACAGTCAATCTACCCAAAAAGTTCTAGAAAAATGCAAACAATTTCATCAACCAGTTCTGTGTGGTCATGCCTATTACAGAAATTACGATGGGTTATGCAACAATTTGAGACAACCTACGTGGGGAAAAGCCATAACAGAACAAAACAGACTTCTTCCCGCCAATTATGAAGGTCAATTCCCTATTTTTACGATATTATTCCTATTTTTATGATATTATATATATGTTTATGATATTATTAACGCATCAGATATCAACCCCTTGAGATACGAAGACGTCTGGGAGACGTCATTTGTTTCTCATGTCAAAACAATAATTGACGTGTCTCAGACATCTTCAACACAGAGATGTCAACTTGCTCTGGACAGCAAATAAATATTTTAAAGTGGTAGTTTAAGGATTGTGATTCTTGGTTTAATAAATTCAATTTAGTAGATTTTTATCCACCATTATTTCTAAATAATTCGTAGGCTTATATAATTCACCACTTTAAAGTAGTTATGTCATGCTATACCTTTGTTTGCAAAAACTGTCAAACATTTGCAAAATTTAGTTTGTAGTTATTTATCGTTTTTTTTTTTTTTTAATTATTTGGCATCTCTATCAACATTTCATTGCGAGTTGTTGTTTACAGTGCAAACAAAGATCATTTCTATATCAAGAAATGATATGTCAAGGGGTTAATGTTTCTATTTCAAAAAGATTAAGAAAGATATGAAATTGATAGCAGAAAGGGTCACAATCTGGAATAATTTAAAACTGTTTCAGGAAGTTATCATAAATTGAATGAATTTTAAAATATCTACCCTATACAGTGAAATCTGTCCACTTGACCATCCTTGTGATTTGACCTCGATTATCAAAAACATAATTTATCGTATAAAACAGTAGTAGCAACGTCCTATAAAAAAATTAAAAAGCGGTAGTTTCGAAAGTTTATTTGACCTATAATTAGAGAAGAAACAGTTTGATTCTAAACTTTCAGATTAAACTTTATTTTGAAACATAACACCGTATTGCTGTTTTGTAATTATTTAAATAGTTAATATGCCGTGGTAATTAAAATATTACTTTTTATTTAGTGATGATAGGTGATAAATGTCGTAGTGGCTCTCTTAAAATTCAGACCGGACTGTGCGGTGGCCAGGGAGCTAACTTCACATCAGAAAGGTCCTGGGTTCGAATCCTGAGCAAGGCAGGGATGATCTTTCATTCTCCCCACTATCTGTCCTTACTGTGGGAGCAAGGCAGGCCCACCTAATAGGGGGTGCCCCTGAAGGAGTGGACAACAAATCTGCTTTACGGATACCTAAATGGCGAGTGTCAATCGGGTGAGAATCGGAAAAAATGTTCTTTTTTAAATATTGGAGAAATTACCAAAAATTCTGAAAGCTTTAATAGTCTACCACTCTATAAAATATTTTAATCATTGGCAGCCTTGACTTATATATTCCCTTCCAGGTTTTAAGATTCAGTCAAGTTAATAATAAATCATCCATTACGAATCATTCACTTCGTTGCTACGTAAGGAGTGTTGGAAAGAAACCATACATTTCAATTATTTTATTTAAAAATAAATACCCACAGCACAAAATTTACAATTAACAAAATTAGAAAGGGAAGGTGATGGCATAAGAGTCTTAAGCGAATGAAATCTTAGTCTCAACTGCTGAGTTCAACAAACTGATGAAAGATGGCACTGTAGGAGGAGGTTACAGCTATAATTACTTTTCATACTATGCAAAACAATGTTCAATCAACGCATGCAATTTAAACAATTAATACAAAATAACTGCCTAAAATTGCAACGTCATAATTGGAGTCAAATTTTTGGCACTCACTAATTTCTTAGACGGTAAAAATTCAGTATAATAACATTTAATGTAACACAAATATTTAATTTAACAACAATAAAGCACTAAATAACATTTAACATCATAACATTTTTTAAGTTCTTTAGTTACCAAAAATTAATTATTTGATCAGGAATTTCAGTCGTTGAAACAGTTAACAACATCGCAGAAGTTCCGCAGTTCACATCATAAATACAGGAAGGAGGAAGAGAGGCAATTTGAAGTGGATGGTTCTCAGCAACGAAACATGATATTTTTCTTCCGCTGGAAGGTGAAATGAGACTCGGCTTGTCTGTGTCAGATGGAGTCCAAGTGCTGAGTTATTTACCTCCTATATGAATTTATTATTCGTGCACCAGCAAAGGTGTTGACTTCAACACATTTAATTGTTGTAAAAATTGCCAAGGTAGATATGAATTGGGTGGGGGGGGGGATAATGAGTTGACATGAATAATGACTTTCAGCTTCAGACGGGTTGTACCCCAGTTGTGATCCCGAATAAATAAAAGCAACGTTTTAAAAATGAATACTTACAAAAAGTAATATTTATTGTATAGCTATTTACGGAATATACTTAATTATTTACAAAATCTATTCGAGAAAACCCTGTCCGAAAGGAAAAAACGCTGTACTTGATGATGAAATCAAATATTTCTTTAAAAATGTATGCGTCACAATGTCTTTGAATAAGGAAGCACTGCAATGTGCTCATGAATGTGAAGTCTTTCACACATGAACCACGGAGTCCCGGTTCTACACAAAATTTTGTTTTTCATGGTCTTCTTTTATGTGCAACGCTGGTGATGCTCCAGACACTGTAGGTATAAAGGGTTCTTTTTATTGCTAAGACCAGCTGCGATGGGTGACCTTGAATTGACTATAATCCCGGAAAGGCGCCTTCAACCCAATTATGCTGGAGATATGTGCGATCCAGTTTAATGTATTTGTAAGTGTGACACCATGGCTTCGTCGACTATCGGGGTTGATTCCCTAAATAAGGTGATGTTTGTATTTTTCTTTTATAAGATTTTCTTAGAATTAATAACGCAGATTTGGTGGCATCCATTTTTCTCACCAATCTTCAATAGTTTGATTTTCTTAACAGCTACATTTAGTCATTCTTAGGATGTCATCAGCTTAAAAGGCTGATTGTTATTTCCTGCGAGTTTGGGAGCCCTGTAAGTAAGAAATGATCCTCGTATGGAAGTGTCACTCATTCATTTTGGTATCGTTTACTTTGATGCTGAATTAGTTCAATAGCTGTTCAGTAAAAGAATTAAGTATTCAGGGATTTCGTTCATGGCGCTGGTGTCAAACACGATCCCAATTTCTGTCCACCGTCTTATCTATAACATTTTATAACTCTTGGTAGGCATGATTCTTTGTTTCAACCAAAAGCAAGTTAGGTATAGAATGGGTTTACTTTTCGGTACATCTCTAACAGTTTTTTAAATTTCTTTTAGGAATGAAGGGATTGAGAAAATCTGTCTCTGGTCAATTTTTACCCTCTCCCCGTCACATTTCTCTGCAATCAGGAAGTCAAAGTAATTTCTCAAATAGTGTATCAGCATTATTCACGTTCTTTGGACAGTTCTTAACGCATGATGTTGTGCTCACCCCTGTTATGACAGGCAAGTCTTTCTAAACATTATGCTACATTATAATTATTTTTATAATGAATGGTTATGATTTGGATAAATTTAAAAAGTTAAAGCAAAATGAAGAGATTTATTTTAATAATTCACCTCTATGCTTAATATTTTCAAATGAATATGTCTAGTCACGAAATCTGATGTACCGAGGACCAAAAAGTGCCACTTTAATGACAAAATAGATGATAAAATGGCAGTAAGCAGATAAATTTTGATGGTGACGATGAACCAAGGATCAGATTTTAAATTGAGAACTAATATCAAGAAATTTCTAACTTCTTTATTTCAATATTGTTCCCACGTTTTAAGGTTTCTAAAGACTGTACGAGCTTGAAGATAAAATGCAAGTAACGAATATTTATTTAGATTTTCCAATTGTTTAGTAAGTATTACGTTTGAATTAAGTATGTTCAACGTGAATTATTTGTAATTTTAAAAAACCGCCAAATTTAGCGATCAAAAGCATTATTTGGTAAAACTATTGAAATTGATGTGCTCAAGCTGTCGTAGCCTTTATGATTAAAGGTAAGCTTTGCCATGAGTAGAATATCAATGATATTTAAATAAGAAAATGTCTATAAACAGAAGAGAAATATAAAAAAACCGTGGACCAACAGACAGAATTCCAACCTCTCTGAGGCAATGACAATCATCTCCTATGGATATATTTAATGCAAAAACTTTCGGAAGAGAACAACAATATCGTATTCTTAAATTTTCAAACATTTTACGTTCTTACACTCCTTAATGGATTTGATTTTTTTTAAAAGTGACATCAAAGTGAAATTATGACATTTTTACAATAATTAATTATAAATTATCCACCATCATGCAAGTGATAGTCCTGTACTAATTTTGCAACTTGTAGAAAATTCTTGGATACTTTACTCTTGCCGAAAATAAGCAAACAATAAAATGATTTTACTGATGATTTTCTTTTCCGTCTTTCTTGTCCTACAATAATATTCTTAGAATTTACCTGTTAGGGAATATCTTAAATATTTTATAATCAATCCTTTATTCTGAAATTCACAGTAGTATCGTGTTATTGTTTCATGAAACAGAAAATGGCAACGTTCTGAAGTGTTGTGGTCCCCAAAGGACGACCCACCCCAGCTGTTCTGCCGCATTCGATTATCCTACTGCTGATCCATTCTTCTCACGCATCAATGTCACGTGCCAAAACTTTGTAAGAGCTGCTCCATTCCCGAAATGCAATCTCGGTAAGTATCACTTCGCCATCTTGGATTTGCTGATGAAATTTTAATTTTTAATTTGGGGAGAATTTCTTATAAAAATCTTACTAGTTTATTACATACCATTTTTCCTTTTTAAAAAAAATCTTTATTACATACCATTTTTCTTTTATAATTATTTTTTATTACATACCATTTTTTTCCTAAATTTTATAGCACACCATTATTTTTTAAATTTTTATTACCTACTATTTTTCTTTTTTAAAAATAAAATCCCTATATTAGGACTTCAAATAAATTAAAGATTTAATCTAAGAAATATATTAAGACAGAAATTGACAAAGAAAAAATTCGGGAGTGTTAGACACCTTTTAAAAAGGTAGGAAAATAACAGCTTCATTTTACTAGATCCGGAAATATTACGTTTGATAATTTTTTTAAACTTCTGACTTTTTTTTATCCCCAACATGTCGAGCAATAAAATTAGAGGGTTACTAGTTTTGATCATTTAATAAAAAAACTATATAGTAATCCGTTTTTAACATTTTAATTCACTGTTACTGCCGTTTAAATTGACATAAACTGTTTTGAATGGTTATGAAAAATATTCTTGACATAAATAACACAGGAAAAATAAAAATAAAAGATATTTTCTGTGAATTTAAAAACAGGTAAATGTTTTATGTTAAAACACATTTTTTAATTAATTGATTAATTGATATGATGAATCATTAATTCATCATATCAGATTCGTACTGACATCATTTTGTCGGAAAAAATCAATATAGAATTTTAAGCAGTATATTTCAAAAATGCTGATGGAGTGACGGTCCGGACAGTTATGCGTGTTTATTAATATTACAGTTTTTTTTAACCACAATTTAAATTAAAACTTAAGAATGATGTTATGTAATAAGTGTCCTTGATTTATTTAGAGGTGCAAACTTGTTCCACTTCGTGAGCAATTTTTTTTCCCAAAGGGTGTCACAAAATTTTAACAAGGTTTAAATTAAATAGAAAAACACAGTTTTTTTTTTTCAATTGGGTACTTGCAAGTGACGTAGTGTGGGTATGAAACGTGGCATTTGTTTACGTTAGACTATTCTTTACAACTATTCTTTCCATAGACGTTACAAATATTTAAAATCTTTCACTATATATTTATTACTTAACACAAAGACAGGCACGAAGCCGCGTAAACAAACTATGCTTTAAGTGGCCAGGTACACAAAACAAAAATATATGGTTACAACAAAATATACAATAAAATATGTAAACAAATAATAAATCTAAGTTAAATAAAAGAAGTAGGCGAGAAAGAATTATATTTCAGCACATTTGAAGGGCGATACGGCGTTGTATTTAATAAACTTCGTGTTAATTAGCATTCTAACTTATGTGGAGAAACTTAGCTCAGCTTTAATATGTCATTTTGCTTATAAATGACGAGTTGGCCCTGACGTCATAAGTCACATGTGGGTATCCGTGATCTTTTTGTTGAAGTACATGTACCCAATTATATATAATTTTTAATTGAAACATTTATGACATAGGATAGGGTTATGTATGGAATTTCACATGTTCACTCTTTTGTGGAAATTTTCCATGACCATTTTGCATAATTTCGTTGATGCAAAATTGAATTTCCTCATTCAACGCACAGATGCATTAAAATAACCCCCAAAGAAAGAACTCCATTGGTGTTAAATCACATGATCTTGGAAGACAATTCTGATAAACCAAAAAATGTCGCACGCAATAATTGGATTGTTTCATTCGACAACGCGTTGATTCTCAATTGTAGTGCTGCATTTTTTTAACTATCAACTGTTTTCTTTTTCTGGTCGCCAACAATTAAAAAATTAATTTTCTACTTAATTAAAATCCTTGTGTTAGTTTCGGGACATCATTTAAGTTCCACAATTATAATTTTTATGCATGATTTATTCCATTGCTTGATTCAATTCATTTGTGATATTTAAATAGCGGAAACTTACATAGAAAGCATCGTTTCTTTTTCAGTTAGTGAGGCTTTAAAATGTTAGAGAGCAAAACTGTACGAGCTTCAATTTTTATTATTACAGTTAAAGTGGTTCTATGTGACGTGATTGTTGAAGAGCTGAGTGATTGTTAGTTAATTTGAGTAAATTAGCTTCAGAGTCTATCATAGGAAATAAATTATCTATCTTACCTTCATTTATTATACGCAAGTTGAAATATATAAGACCATTAGAGTTAGTAAGACTGTTCGAACGTTCCCACTCTTGGTCTTCTTTATTACTGCTAAAAGAGGGATTACTCGTCGACTGTTTGTTGCACATGTAAAATTCATCCACTTCAAAAACACTTAGGTTAGTATTTTTATCTGCTGAATGATATACAGTGATGGACAAAAGTGTGGACATTTTTTGAAAGTTTCATGTTTTTCAAATTTGTGTGCTTTTGCAGAATATATTAATTTTCACTTAAATACAAACGTTTAGATGTCAAATTGAAGGTAATTCAATGTAGAATTTAATAACAAAAACAGAATTAAAATATCTATATTACAAAAAAATTTATGCTCATTTTAGTAGAACAAACAAACCCAAATCGTTTTGAATAAGGACGTGTTTCGTAATAAAAGCGTACTAGCCAATCACAAACACTGTTCTTAGGACCAATGAAATGTTTGTAACTATAGTTTAGGTTATTTGGATGATAAAAGAGTTATTGTTGTGGAAATATTTTGCGGAATGATGCATACTAACACAATTAAATAGAGTATTGCTGTTTTTGAATATTTTAAGTCCTTTTTTAATTAAACTAATTTTAAACAATGTCATCAGCAAGAAAAACTAATTGGACATCTACAAAAAGAAGCCGAATTGTCATATCGAAAGAAAATGGCCTTTCTTATGCTGAAATTGCAAGACAAGTTGGTGGTTCAGTGACTTGTTCTGGTGTACGAAAGTTCTGTTTACGTTATGAAAAAACGAAATCAGTGGAAAATAAAGGCCGAAAAAAATGCACAATTGCTACTGCCGATAGAAAAATTATACGGCTATGCCTTCAAGATAGAAAAATTTCATCAGATGCCATTAGATGTGAAATGAATGCAGCGGGTATTGCAGCAAGTTCAAGAACAATAAGAAGAAGGTTATCAGAATTTGGACTACAAGCTAGAATTCTAAGGAAAAAACCATATTTAAATCAAAAGCAAAGCGAAAAACGAGTTAAATGAGCAAAAGAACACTTCAAATGGCCAGAAAATCAATGAAAACAAGTAATCTGGAGCGATGAGAGTAAAATATCGCTGTTTGGTAGTGATGGTAGAAAATACGCGAGACGTAGAGTAGGTGAAGCACTTCATCCTGATTGCATTGAAGCAACTACAAAAAACCCAACAAATGTCATGATTTGGGCATGTATGTCTGCTGATGGTGTAGGCTAAATTCAAGTGATTGATGGTATCCTGAATGCCAAAAAATACATCGAAACTGCCCTGAAACCAAAATTGATACCTTCCATCAGGGATCTCTTCCCCAACAACGCACCATTTATTTTTCAGCAGAATTCAGCTCCATGCCACACAGCAAAAGTATGCAAAGCATGGTTTCAAATAAAGGCATAGATATATTACCATGGCCAGGAAACAGTCCTGATCTTAATCCAATTGAAAATTTGGGGCGACGTTTGAAAATTCTTGTACGAAAAAACCGTCCATCCAATAAAAGACAACTTTTTGAAGCTATAATTGATTCTTGGCACCATGTGATTACGAAAAATGAACTCCAAACACTCGTTCACTCGATGAAAAAACGCTGTGAAACTGTCTTAAAAATTAAGGGTTATCCTACTAAGTATTGATTGTGTAAGTATCACTTTAAAAAAATGCAAATCTAAGACTGATCTTACTATTAGTTGCATAACTTTTTTTGTAATACAGATATTGTAATACTGTATTCATTATTAAATTTTACATTAAATTACCGTCAATTTGATATAGATAAACGTTTGTATTTAAGTGAAAATTAATATATTCTACAAGCACACAAAGTTGAAAAACATGAAACTTTCAAAAAATGTCCACACTTTTGGCCACCACTGTAATTAGTATAGCATAGATAGTATAGTATAGTATAGTTCATACAGTTAATTCTGCCTAAATAAAGATCTTCCAACGAGAAATCTCATTTGTTTCAAAACTGTCACTTAAAACATTCTTTCTTTAATCTTTCATTAGGCTATATTTCTTAAACTCCAGAGACTCAGCGTCCGATATATTGTACACCATTTGGTACAATTTTATCACTTAAAAAAATAATATTGTGTAAAAAAAAAATTGTGTTTGTATGCTCTTAAAAAGTGATTGTCTTCGTAAAATTTTATTGGATTTGTGTACACTCGTGGGTCGGAGTTTTTAATGACAGTGAAAAATTATGAGAAAGGTGAGAAGTTTGATTTGAGTAACCTTTCGGACAGTTTTACGGCGTGTCACTATTTTATTACTTGAGTCCTCTGAGTTTTGTTCCATGACAAAATGCGAAGAAATACATCATAGAAATATCCTAAAATGTGCACAGAAACTGCTCAAAACTAAAATGCATCGTTTTTACGTAATAATTAAAAAAGTTAAATTTTAATTTAAAAAAAATTAATTGAATTTTTCAAAAAATATTTTAACNCAAAATTATAAATTAAGTCAAAAGAATTAGTATTATTGATTAAAAAAAACAGGATATTTAGAAAATTAGGCTGTGACCTAATGTCACAATCTTCTTTCATTTAGAAATGTGTACATTTCTAATTAAAAGTCTTATTTTCTACCATAATTTAAAGCTTGAATAGCAGGAGGATATTGAGTTTTATTTTTTTTTATGTCGTAATCTCAAGACATTCTGTTTTTTTAGATAAAAGGGGAATAATCAATAAGAAAACCTCATTCATCGATGCTTCGAATGTTTACGACAATAGTGATGATGCATCTTATCGACTTAGGACAAACGATGGAACAGGTAAACAACAAGAAAGCAAATTAAACATCACAAATGAGTATCAAAAGAAATTTCAAAATGAAAATTTAAAGCAATCTATTTCCGAAATCGAGCCGACCGGCCTATGTAGGGGTTAGGGAACCTTGCATCAGAAAGGTTCTGGGTTTGAATCCCGGGCAAGGCATGGATAATCTTTCCTTCTCTGTGCTATTTGTCCTTACTGTGGGAGCAACGTTGGCCCACCTAATATGGTGCCCCTGAAAGAGTGGTCAACAAATATGCCCTTCAGGTGCCGGTATGATCTAGGTCATTCTCCAAGTGGGCATTGGAGAAAAAAAAATTTCCGATATCGAGTCAACCAACTTAATTGAGACATCCTAGCGAAAATATCTACTTGAAGTAGTTAACCATTAGGTTTTAAGAGAGCAGCTAATTCATAGTTAACAGATACGTATTATATGATTGAAATCTGTAAAATCTAACTATTTTTTTTAAAATTTATTTCTGTTTTAGAAACTTAGAAAAAAAAATTGGCCTTGACAATTAAGCATATTGAAGCAATTTGTATTTTTGCTTATTCTTAATTTTTTCTTATATTTTTTATTCCAGTTACCATATACAATCTGGGGAGAAGACCGGTTACATGTCTTGACCCTCCCTCCTTTCCTCTCTTCGTCTTCACAGTTGTATATTTTATATCCGTCGTTGAACAGACGACCCAATTTTGGGTTTACGACTATTAATGTTCAACTTTGTCGTCTTGTAATTTTGAACCGATCCAGAAGACAAGGAAACTCCTGGATCAGTACTCCCAGAGGTATTGACTTGTTATGGGAACATGGAGCACTTTGCGACTCGACAGATTTAACGTGCATCAGTCACCGTGTACTACACGGGGAGACTTCGGCTGGCGGGGATCGAACCCACGAACTCTTGGACATGGGCCCAGTGCCCTACCAACCAGGCTATCCCGGCTTCTCACAGTTGTACAGGAATGTACTACGATATTTTCCCCTCTCTTAATACTTATTTGTATTTAATTGTCAAAAATATTTTTTGTTTTTTTAAATTACCACGACGCTTTCTTTTAAAACTATTTATTGAATGTACTTTTCAGTTCCATATAGTTTCTTAACTTAAAAGTTTTTTTTGAAAATCAAGACAGAAACTAACGTACTTCCTTCTTCTATGAATCTCTACACGCTAATGAAGAAAGCATGCGAAGTGCTGCCTTAGGTAGAGAGTTCTGGCTCTACGCCACCTGTAGCCCATTTCCATCGCCAATTACTTTTATTTAGGTTTGTAGAAAAACGTTTCAAGAACTATTAACAGAATAAACAAGTGATCGGATAACTACAAACAACGTTGTCGTCGGTATAGATCCTGATTAGCTGTTGAAACGCGGCATTTGTTTAAGTTAGCAACTGTTTTTTTCCATTCTGTTTCGAGAACAAACGGAATCATTCTTTCACGAAGAAAGATTTGATTTATTTCTTACTTAACACACAGAAGGTACATGGAGCCATGTAGAACATAAACAAACTAATTAGGCAGCAAAATTGCCAGATACTCAAAACAAAAATAATCACCGTCACAGTAAAATACATAAACAAATTATTAATACAAGTTAAACGAAAGACGTAGACAAGAATGATTTATATTTTAAAAAATTTGAAATGAAATTTGCAATTCTGTATTAACTTCCACTAATGGACATTCTCAAGAACGCTCCCAAAAATTCACAAAAATATGCTAATCGGGAGATGCGAACGAAAACCTTATTAGTGAAATATATTTATCCTCGAAAAACTTACTAATCAAGTTTTCGTGTGCATATCTGAATTCATACACGGGATTTTATCGCATCTTGTAAAATATAAATTTTTAATAAAAAATCTATAGATTGTTTTCTTTTTGTTTAAATTAATTTTACGAATATTTTTTTCTGAAGGTAGACTGAGAACACAATACACATTATTTGGAACATTGATGCCAAAGAATCAAGATGTCAATGCAACGTTTTGCCCTTTTGAAGTCATGTCTCAATGCTTTGAAGGTGGTAAGTTTCGTCAATGAATTCATTGTTAAAATATACATTTTCATTTTTTTTTACGAATATGCTTTAAAATTTTGTAACGGCATTGTTTCCCTTTCTGGTATTTTGTCAATCGATTTCATTTCAGGGGACGATCGAATAAATCAGCACACCATGTTAACGAGTCTTCAGACCCTATTTGTTCGAATACACAACAGAATTGCAAACTATCTTTTCAAACTGAACTCTTGGTGGGACGATGAAACTATCTTTCAAGAGGCAAGGTTATACTTAACTTTTATACCTGTTAATAGATGCCTTTTTTAAAAAAATATTAATACATTTTCCAACCGTTAATAGATGCGGTGGTTTTAAAATTGTTAAAACGTTCCCTATCCGTTACTAAACACATTATTTTAAAAATGCTAATAAACTTCTGACCTGTTACTAAACGAATATTTTTAAAACTGTGGATAATTTTTTTTCCGCATTAATAAACGCATAATTTTAAACCTGTTAATAAATTTTCTACCCGTCAATAGACACGTGTTTTTTAACTGTTAATAATTTTTTATACATTTCACTAAACGCGTACTTTTTAAAATACTAACTGTTTCTCAACGCATATTTTTAAAACTGTAAATAAATTTTCTGCATCTTAATGGACGCCTAATTTTTAACATATTAATAAATTGTCGACCATTTAATAAACACGCACTTTTAAAAGTGTTAATAGATAAACCTAATAATCAATGTTAATAATAATTATACTATTTAATATACTATTACTAAAATCGTACTTTTATACCTGTTAACAAGCATGTTCATTGAAATTGGGGCTGCACTTCAACTCTTCTCATAAGTGAGCTTCTTATCACACACGCTATTAGACAATTTATTGTTTTACCCTCATTGAAACATTTGTGGACGTTCCAAGAGATGCAGAAAATGTAAATTATTTGAGTAGAATTCCACATCAACAGAAGTGATTTTCGAAAAATGTCGCCAAATGCATGTACACGAATACGCAATTTTAAATATTATGTAATTTAGCTATTCTGAAAATACTTTTTTTCTTTTGACTTAATAGCACTGTGATCTGTATGTAGCTTTTAAATTATATATTTACTTAATATGTAAAAATAATACAATCAAGAACATGTAGATCCGCATATATATGGCGAAATATATGACAGAGTCATTCAAGTCAAATCTCATAGTATTGTGAGTATTTAATTTTATTGATTACTATTTTTATGTGTCATTTTATATAAGTGTTATGTTAGACTACATGAGTGTTATGTGAGAGTACATGAATTTAAACATTTTTTATATATTTTACCCCCAAGTAGTTAGATACTTTTATTAAATTAAAGTTAGATTATTTTCAATAATTATTTATTTTGCGTGATTTGTATAATTAAAATAGCTTTGAAACTGAGATTTAATGCAGTATTGAATTGTCCTTTGATGAAACATTTTTTTAAATTTATGTTTTTTCCTAAATAATTATTGAACTTATTCATCATTGTATTTCAATTGACCATAATATAAGCATGTTTGTTCCTACTTTAGGTGCAAATCAACATTTCAAATATTCTATTCTTTTACTCAGTTAAAAACAGAGGCATGTGTACCTAAAATTATTAAGCCCCTGGTAGTATAATTGATATCTCGTTGTGTGTACAAATGATTTATGAGTGCAATGATGAAAACATTACAAATGATTTATCTTATTATGCCTTATGACAGTTAAATAGTAATTCGGAACTGTACAATATTTTTTTCAATATACTTCAGCTGTGAAGAGGTAACAGAAACTATGCAAAATTACAAACGGTACCGAAATAATTCAAATTACAAACAATCAAGATAAGCTCAATTTTTCTTAACTTCGCAGCTAGATTATAAAGTACGCATTTTTGTTTAAACTGTATATGTAAAGGATGTTTCATAAAGACAGCTCTTCATATAGCTGACAGGCTTAATTGCAGTATTAAAAAAAAAGGAATTGAAAGACGGTTATTAGGATTCACGCTTCAACCTCCAATTAAAACTGTTTTGACATTTATCACATGTGCTTTCTTCTACTGTAATTTGTCAGGGAGATATAGCTTGTTTCATTCCTTGCAACCCTTGATGTTCTCATTTTTGATAAGTAACACCTTCACGCCGCTTCGACTATATTAAATACTAATATATATATATATATATATATATATATATGTGTACATAAATTAAAAAAAGTAAAATCCATATTGTCATTGTTAAAATAAAGATCAACGACAAAATCACNAAATTCTTCAGATAAAGGTTCACCCACTCATGGCAACAGTTTTTCCTGCGGGGGATGGTGTTTACCAACAGGATAATGCACCGTGTCATAAGGGTCGAATCGTCGAGGAACATTCCAGTGAATTTCAAGTCATCACTTGGCCCCCAAATTCACCTGAACTTAATCCAATAGAACATTTGTGGTCCTTACTTGGAAAACCAAATTCGTGCTGCCACGCTACCCCCTCGCAATGTGAGGGAATTGCAGGACCAGCTGGTGAGCGCTTGGTACCGGATACCTCTGACTACCTATCAGCACCTTGTGGAATCAATGGCACGGTGGGTGCTAGCAGTTTTGAAGACTAAATGTGGTCCTACATGTTATTAGCAGGGTGGTCTTAATGTAATGGCTCTTCGGTGTATATTGAAAGTGATCTTTCCGGAGCACCTTGTTTAGTGGTAATCATCAGATCAATGCAAATCAGATTTAGTAAATCAATTCTAAGGTCGAAAAAAAATCTCCCAATTAAATGAAATACTTTTTATGAGAAAAGTGTAAAAATTTCACTATAAGTTCATAATAATACATAACGAAACTTCATATGACTCTTCATGTTAATGCTAATAACTTTTCCAGGGTGGAGCGGGAAAAAAAGTTTTCCAAAATTAGAAAACAATTATGCCTTCCAAAAGTTATAGTATATTACGTGTGAATTATTTCAGATTTTTAATGCAGCATCTTCATTTCCCGCAAATGACTTAATATTTTGAAATTTTTCAAAAGAACAGCAAAGTCTCATAAATTGTTCATATCTTCAAAAATTGCCGTATAAAATCAAATGACCACTCAAAAGTTGAGCATTGAATAAAATATTACTCGTGAATTTTTTCGGAATTTTTCAGCAATATTCTCACTTCTTGCAACAGCTGCAAAAATTATGAAATTTTACAAAATTTTTAAGAAAATACCGAATTTTTAAAAAATGTCAGAAGAAAATATAGCACTTTAAAAACGTTGTGTATTTATACTAATATATTACTCATTAATTGTTTTAATATTTTTCAGGTTCCTCTTTACTCAGTAACGGGCACAGGAGGGTTTTTTTTTATTATTTATTTTTTTTAGCTTTTTTCATATTAATAATACTATTGTGAGTTTTATAAATTACAACCATGAGTAAACTAGAGGGAGAAAACTAAAGAGTACACAATAGCTTTACGAAAGTTGGCTGATTTGCATTTGATATAAAATCACAGGAAAGTTCGTCTAAAGAGAGAGGTTTTTTTCGTGAACAGCAAACTGTAATATGAATGGGTTCAGGTTCTATTCATTTGCTAGTCTGTGAAAAGTTATTTAAAAAGACTCATAGGTAAAAAACGAATCTAGCTTTAGGCGAAACACAAGTTTAGAAATTTCAAGAAAACGAGCTAAATTAAAACATTTTAGTTATAAAAGAAATCAAAGAAGCGCATTCTGAAAACTTCAAATGCGACGGGCTCACCATATGGGCTCAAAGGATTTCCATCGCCATTCTTCGGACAAATGATGCCCAGAGATCATTGATAAAAACTGGCTTTCTCAAATTTTTAATTTCAGAAATACAGCGAAATTTGCAGGGTTGCGGTCAAACATACAATTTTATGCTCATTGGGGTTGATTCATTCCACTGCAGCGCTACGAATTTACGTTTTGCAGTTTTACTTAGCAACTCTTATTCAGCACATTCAAATTTTATAAGGATCGTCTTATTTTTAGGAGAATTTTATTTATTTATAATAACTAGTGGAGCAGCGCCATCTGTAACTTTTAATGAATGCGCATGCTCACAATGAACCGAGAAGAAGAACGTAATGTAACCATCTATAAAGGAACATCATCGTCATAACGTGAAATAAGGTTTTTTAATTTTAGCGAATCGTTATTAATTAACATTCATCAAATTCATAACAACCAGTGTAGATAACAGAACAAATGGACAGTGAACAAATATATAAAATGGTATGACGACGGTCATGGCCTGTAAGCTTTAAACTTTTAACTAAAAACTTTTAATAATAAACTTTGGATAAAAACTTTCGTAAAATTTATTTTTTTTAAAAAAATTCAGTCCCGGCACTACCGATGACAAACTTCCGAGTTACAGTTAAATATCAAAATAACAGTTAAAGTTAAGTGTCTAAACAATTAACTTTAAATTAAAAATTATTTTGGTAGCTGTGAAGAAAAACATAAAACATTTTTCCCCTCTAGATTCTGCTCCCACTAGAAAACGCCAGATTGTATAAAGAAAAAAAAAACCTACTCCAAATGTGACCTAATGTGTGAAGGGTATGTACCTAATCACTTCTTTTTCTTCTCTGATTAACAGGCGAATATCAATTGGGATATATCAGTTGATTGTCTACAAAGAATATTTACCGTATCTAATTGGACCTGATTACATGGAAATTTACGACCTGTATGTCCATCCCAGTGGCAGATCCCTTTACAACGATGAAGTAAATCCATCTATAATAGCTGAGTTCAGTACAGCAGCATTTCGAGTTCACAGTATGACCTCCACTTGCATCAGCAGCTACATGCCACGACTGAAATTCCGTGACACATATTCAAATCTCAAGCTACTGCATGAGGGACAACTTGACCCCTTATTGTCTGGATCGTCTGAAGTTCCTTCCGAGCAGAACGATTCTTTTTTAGTGGATGATGTTTCGAAATTTACATACAAGTACGTATCTATCTAAATATAGGGTGTTAGATAATCATCACCTTTAATGCATATTTTTGGAATCTCAAACTAAAAATACTTTTAGATCTTAAGTAATTATTGGGTCGTCCAGAAATTTCATGCCGATTTTCGATAGCCGGAACACTCCACCAAAGCTTTAAAACGTCTTTAAAAAGTTTAAATACGTCATCAAAATAAGGTACACAAAATTCAAACTCACCTAAGACTTGATGAATGAAGCGTTGGAAAGTTGCGGCAGCATTTGATAATCCAAACGGCATATACAAAAACTCGAACAATCCAAACGGAGTTGTTACCGCAGTCTTTGGCACGTCTTCCCTGCGTACCGGAATCTGATAATACGCTTTTTCCAGGTTCAAGATAGAAAATATCCTTTTACCTTCCAAAACCTGAAAACAGTCTTGCATGTGGAGAACAGGGTACCTATCTGGCACGGTCACACCATTAAGACGACGAAAATCACCACACAGTCGCCAGTCGCCATTCTTTTTTAGAACCATGTGTAACGGACTTGCCCAACAGCTTTTGGAAGGCTGATAAACCCCTGATGCTACCAGAAATTCAAACTCTTGTTTTGCAGCTTTCAACTTATCTGACGATAAACGTCGAGGTTTCGAGAAAATAGGAGGTCCTTTTGTCTGTATCCAATGTTCTACTCCATGCTTAACTTTTTTTGGCGTGACACCTGACCTAATCAGAGCAGGAAACGGAATTTAGAGTTCTCTAAAATTACCTCTACCGTTGAAGCAATCTCAGCATACCGGGTACCTCTTGTTTGCAACTTGGTCAAAGAATCAATAACTGTAGCATTTTTGACGGCTACTAATAAACCAAAATTGCGTAAGAAGTCAGCTCCGATAATTGGATGAGGCACGGCAGCAATGATAAAAGGCCAGCTGAACTCTCTTCTGACCCCAAGGTCTAATTTCAACAGGCTTTGGCCAAGCGTTGGAATGGTCGTACCGTTTGCGGCGAACAATTTCATCTGTAAAGAATGGTCACTAGATGCATAGGCAGAACGGGGTATCACAGAGACGTCAGCTCCTGTATCAATGAGATAACGTGAGGATGTAGACTTGTCCGTCAGATAAAGCTGCTGAATCATCGCTTCGCCGTCACCCTTTTGACTGGATGACGGCCTCAGCAGTTTTCCGGTTGGAACGAACATGGAGGTCGGCATTTTGTCACTCGCTGCTTGAATATTTTATGATACCAGCAATACTGTGAATTTGCAGATTATCGGCTTCGGCAAGTAGAGCGTTTCTGACTAGTACTCCTTGACCGGTCACTTGTACGGGCTTCCAACCGTGAGAGACGAGCTGTGATCTCTGTCAATAAAGACCGTAAATCCGTCTGATCTGTCGAACCAGCAACTACGCTGACTGACTGTGCGTTAGTTGTCGTAGCCATGATACCATCTGAACCCG